GGGGGGGGGGGGTAGGGAAACGGCTCCCAAAACGCGTGGTTCTACCCACTTGGCCCGTCGCCAACTTGCTGGTGGTCCGTGAACCAGACCCCTAAACCTAAGACCCTACCCCCCTGCCTAGCCCCCCCCACAGGAGAAGGACCAAAAGCAACCGAATTTGTTGTTTTGGAAGGCCTCCCCCCTGCCTGCTCCCCCCCCCCCTCCCCCCCCCCCCAACCTGCCCCCCCCCCCTCCTCCTTCCCCCCCCCCCCCCCCCCCGCCCCCCCCCCGCCCCCCCCCCCCCCCCCTACGCCCCCCCCCAAAGGAGAAGGACCAAAAGCAACCGAATTTGTTGTTAAGCGGGTGGGTCCGGAAGAGGGCCCGGTGCCCGGACGTCCTTATCTTGGGGGTCGGCGGCAGCGGCGTCAGCCTTTAAATCGGGCAGCGCGAGGTCCCCAAAGGACCGAGCAAATGCGGACCTTTTAGCCCGGGTCGTCCCGGGAATAGCCTTGCTGGCCTCTGGCCTTCTGCGAAGCAGAATTAGGCCGGACGCCAGTGCCGCCGACCCCCGCGTGCCGCCGGTGAACGGTTTTTTTTTCGTGGTTTTTTGCGTCGCCACGGAGGCCCCCAGAGGGCGCGCATCATGAGCATCAGCGGGTCCAGCCCGGGACCCCCAGGCGCGCATCAGGAGCATCAGCGGCTCCCGGGGCGGGACCCCGGGGGCGCATCAGGAGCATGATGCCCCCCAAAGGGCGGGCATAAGCGACGTGTCTAAGCCCGAGGCTAGGAAAAAGGGAGTTTAGGGGCCTTTTGAAGTGCTTAGAAACGTTAAGGGAGTCTAGGAGCCTCAAACGCTTAGAGATTTGAAGGGAGTTTAGGGGCCTCAACATGCTTAGAAACTGCTCGTCCCGGGCTTCTGCGTGCGCTGCCCGCCCATGGGCGCAGCCCCTTAAAATATTGATATATAGAATAGATCATCCCCACGATTGTCATCATTCTAGACATGAGAAATGTAGATCTCAACGATCTATTCCATGTCGTTCTATTAGACAAGGACAGAAAGAACGATCGCGCATGAAAAGCATTTTTCGTAGCCCAGCCAAGCAGAATCCATCACACGTATTGCAAGCTGTCCTGGTCCTCCTCACCATCGCTTGTGCAAATAGAGGTCGCTGGTGGCATCTGCTTGAGCTCCAGAGCCTCCAGAGCCCTTACTTCCTCGAACTCAGCATCTTGAGCATCCTCCAGCTCTCGCGGAAACGAGGCATCGTGCAGCAGCAGCGATCCATGCGCACGCTGTGCCAGCCACTCGGCAGCCCACTGTGCCTCGTCGCGCTTCAGGCATGCCAAAGGTGAACTCATGCCGATCAAACCGCCGCTACCATCGTTGTAGGTATCGACGGAGCGGCCGGCTGCCATCCAAACAGCAACAAGCGCCAACAATGGATGGTCGCTGGCTGACACAGGCCCTGTCGAAACCGAGGCCAGCTGGAGTGCAAGGCGGACGTTTTCTGGTGAACCCATTGCTTCCAGAAGGGCAGCTGCAGCAGGCAGGTTTGCTGGAGGCTTTCCTGGCAAGCCGACGCGGACAGAGATGGAGATGTTGTGCGTGGCAGCCCTATTCGCCAAGCGTGCACCAGCAGCAGCAAAGTCCGCCAAGCACTGAGAACTCGAGTAGTAATTCTCAGGTGCGCGGTGGAAGGCTAGGATGGCGTGTGAGGAGAAAACTCCGTTGGGGCGGTTCGGGGCATCGCTATGCACAATAGATGCCATTTTGCCTAAGACTCTCTCGACGCGTGCAATGCTAGCCTCATACTGCACTGCGCTGTTGTTGCAAAACCGCAGGTCCGGATACAAGTTGGCACCACTGGAGAAGTCAACGACAATCCGCAGTCGCTGCCGAATGGCCCAGGCTGCATCTTCGATGAGTGCTGCTGTGTCACGAACCTCAACGTAGCGCCAGTCCACTGCGATCGTGTCCCAGTGCTGGAAGAAGGATGGCCGAAGCAACACCTGCTCCACCAGGCTGCCAGTGCCACTTAGTGGCAACCCACGATGGCTCGGAAGCAGTGGGGGTGACTGTGGCTGGATGATGGATGCGTTGCTTTTCTGCAGTGTGATTGAAAAGACTCGCTGACTTAAACCAGCGATGGTAGTTGAACTGTCACTTCCGCAGTCAACTCCCTTCGGGGTGTGGGTAGGTACGTACCCTGGCGTTGCACACGAAGCCACCATGGCATCATCAAGTTCTACTTCGTCCACGGACTTTATGGGGCCTATTCGGCTCCTGATCTTGAAAGGGCGCTGTGACAGCTGCGTGTTTGCCACTGCGAGTATATACTCAGCATCTGAGCGTCGGGTGGCCACCATGTTGAGGGCAGGGCTATCTGAGGCGTCCTCCACTTGGAACACAGCCTGCTCCATGAAGATCTCTTCCAGGATCATCCGGACATGTTGTGCAATCGGAAACGGAATAGGCAGCTTCTTGTCGACAGCCTGACTGGCCGAGGGCGCCAAGGGCAAGGGTACTGCGGGTACCTGGCTGGTGCCTGCGACGCCGGAGGATGCGATCACCACCAAGCGACCAGTGCCGATCGCAGCTACCGCAGCCAATGTTTGCAAACCGACAGATGCAATTGCTCGAGTCTTGGCAGTTGTCCTCCAGTTGAGTGTGCAAACCTTCAGTGGCGCCGTCTCTTTGACCTGCTTCGGTGGTGTTGTGGGATCGGAGATGCTTTGAACAGTTACTATGGCTCCCGCTGGCAAGGTATTGCAGTCCCTGCCAGAAGCAGCCTCCACAGCAGTCAGTGGCAGAGTGCGGATGGCGTCCGCCGTGATGACAAGGATACCTCCGCCAGCGACGTAGTCCTCCAACTTCTTGGCAACCTCGCTGCGCATGGCCCGCAGGGCCGACCCCACAACTACCACAGGATATCGCTGCAGCAGCCAGAGGGGTGCATCAGATAGCAGCATGTCAGCGGCATCACCAAACGGGGTGGGCGCGAGAAAGCCTGATTCATTGTGAAAGTAGCTGGCAGTCTCGTACCCAGGATATAACACATTCAAAACACCATGTGTCCAGAATTCTGCCTTCTCCCACGGAATGTTGCCCCATACACGGAAGGCAACATTCTGGTACAAATGCCTTGGAGGCTGGAAGCCGGCAAAGTAATCTAACAGAATGGCGAACTGCGTGATGTGACTGCCGATCCCGGCCTGGATGCCTCCGGCAGTGATCTGGCGATCCACGAAGGACTTGCCTGCCTTTTGGATGATGCCAATGGGACTCAGCTGTGTCTTGTTGACTCCGCATGTCCATCCTGCTTCAAATGAGAAAAAAGCTGAGTTATACAGAAGCTGCTGGTACATCAGCGATCGCATGAGAGCCAGTGAAGTGCCATTCTCTGAGCACGTGCAGCTGCTACAGTCCTTTGGCCCCTCCGGCCCCCACCAACGATTCCCAACCGAAGCATCTCCCCACACGCGTAAGCCATACTGCTTAGCTGCACCGCGAAGAAAGGCGTAGAAGATCTGATCATTTGGCAGGCCCTGCGCCGTCTCGGCACCCAGCAACGTATAGTAGCCTGCGCGTGCATAGTAGTGAGGGTACCACAGGCTGTTCAAGCTCATGAGCTTGAAACCCAAATCATCTGCCATTCGCTCAAAGTGTTGTGAGAAGTACAGGAAGCCTTGTCTCAGCTCATCTTGTCGAGCTTTTGGGCTGCCGCCGCGTCCACGGAGTTGCTGGCCAGCAAAGCCCATCCATCGACCATCTTGCTCCCCGTTGTCCATTCCTGTGAAGTTCTCACCGAGCAAAGCAAGCAGTTTCGAAGTGTCCGCAAGCAAGTGGTATTCGCACACAGATACACCTGGCGAAACAGGGTCACATCTGTCTGTGTCGCCTGGAAGGTAATTCGAAACATCAACCAGCCACATATGTCGGGAGACAACGTTTCGCATGGTGTTGTTTAGATCGTGTAGGGCAGTGTACTGTGGCCAAACTGCATCACCAAGGCCCGTGGCCGCATAGGCATCCAGGTCATTGGCATCCAGCGCACCACGATAGGCCGCAAAGTGGACGAAGTTGGCAAGGCCTTTTGGTGTCTTGATCCAAGCACGTTGTTGTTGGGGATTCGCTGTCGGATCGTTCAGTATTGGGTACAATCGCACCACTCCTTCCGCAGGCATCAGAAGCCCCAAGGCACATATCCAGGCCACCACGGCATTCATAGAGCCTGGCCTTGGGGAGAAGGTGGTGCCAGTCTACAAAGAACCAGCCCCAGGTAAATGCTGCAGCACATTGTCGCATCTCCTTCAAACAAGAATGGCGGGCGGAGACATGCTGGACCCCAAACCTGCTAAACCCCAAGCCCGAAACCTTACCTGGCCAGCTGAATGCAGTCTTGCTTCGAAGTATATGATGTCTGACTCTTGACCCCCTCAGCTACGAGTAGCGGCACCAAACAAAGTGTTTTCGCACAAGCCGGAATGAGTCGGAACGAGCCTGACTTCTCCAGAAGTTGTGTATACATTCCGTGCAATGGCGCTGCTTGGCTTCTTGGATCTGAACTAAGGAGTTCCACTCACAAACAGGAGACTGTTATTTAAGACATGCGAAAGATTCTATGGCGATGCTGTCGGTGTAGTCCCTACACGGACAGGACATCACCTTTCATGACCACATCCGGAACCTCTGTACCCACATGCCATGCTGGCTGAGCCGGCTCAGCTGGGGCTTTAGGTGGAGGCTGCAAGTGACAGAAAGTGCATCTGTTGAGTGGCAACAGGAACGCAAGATTGATTAACAATAGGCCGGCAAAAGGACAAAGAGGCAGCAGACTGTTTGGTGGCGTCCGTACCAGGGTACTGCGATACGGTTCCCACGTCATGACAGAAATCAACATTGGGGGCAGGAGTAGTATCGCCACACAAGGGCGGGAAAACTGCTTTAAGCAAGTCCCCTTCTGCCAAATTAGCATGCTCAACTGCACAGCCAACATTATAACCAGGAAGAAATTGAGCCAATCGAAGATCAAGCGAGTGCCCCAAATCATCAGATCTGTGCCAGCTAAGCTTGGCTCAGGACCAGCAGCAAGAACAGCCATGTAGTCGGAGAGGAAAGGAACATTTGCAGTTGCGACCATGTAGAAAGCGTAACGGAATGGCACCAGAGAGCCCTGTACACCGCTTAGAATGTCGGTGATTTCCTGCTTCTGCACGAGGGAATCGAAATATCTCAGCACCTCGGATTCCGTCGCCCCATCCTTTCCATACCATAGCCCAAGCACTTCGAAGACAAGCTTCCGGTCGCAGATGATGCCTTGGCTTCGTAACTCAGACCTTCATCCTAAACTGAACCTCGCACTCGCCTTTTGTCTGTCTTCATGTTCCACAAGGTGCCATTACCCCTTGCAGAAGACGGAAAATTCTGAGGCCAGGCTGCTGCGAGCCGCCTACATCTGCCTTCGGTTGTCCAAATCGAAGCAGGTTGCCGAACCACTAAGGACACTAGTCACTAAGAAGGCAGGTTGCTCCGGCCAGTCTTCGGATGCACATGACCGTCTGAGCAACAGGCGCACTCCGCAGCCTTGCATTCCATCAGGGTGTTCGTGGAATTGCTTGGGAAACTTCACAGTCACAGGCATGCTAGTCAGAGAGGCGGGGGGGGTTCGCAGCCTAGTGCATGACAAAATGGAAGGGCCATATTTGTTGCTAGGCATTCCTCGCTTGCTGCGGCTCACGCCCAGCCTGCAAAGGATACCAGTGCACAAGCTAGTAACTGCCCCGAAAGAACCATGACACTCTACAAGTGTGGAGATCATTTGACCACTTCTTGGGATGGATATCCTGGAAGCCTGCGCAAAATCGTGCTTGCGAACTGGTTTCGCTTTATGTACCCCAGTCAACAGCCCTTCTGTGCTACCCTTTAAACTTAGACAGCAACAGACAGCGATACACTGCAAGCTTGGCAGCACGTATGCTGAAGCTTCGCACTTGCTGGGGCAACTCCTGGATCTCAGCCAAGAGCCCCAAGCTCACGTAGTTTTGCAACGGGAGAATGAGAACAGCGACGGATTGGAACAGAAACCTGGCATCGATCGATGTCCTTGCGCCGGCATCGATCTCACGGTAGGCAATGTAGTATCCAGCAGCCATGCAATGCCAAGCGACAGACATGAGGCAGATCAGCAAGCAGAGCTTCACGGGGATTACGTGAACAGACTTGCGCTTCTGAGGATTTTGCAGGAATGAAATGAGCTCATACGTACACCACAAGCGAGTTAAATATTTTCCGGACCAAAGTATTGTCAACTCTTCCGACTGATCCAAAAAACCAGGCAGGCTTAGAATTCCCTGCTCTTTGAGCGCCTCGTCCTCTTGAGAGATGCACAGCTTGTCCAGGAAAACGATGCGAGGCCTTCGGACCAGTTCACGTAGCCGCTGCCAGAAGCACAGGACTGCAACAAACGCGATGTGTCCGGCAAAGGCCGTCCAGATGTGATTGGGCAAGACGCTGCTGATGCGGAGTACGCCGACAAGCAAACTCACGAGGAGACTGGCTGCAGCAGCAGCTTGGCTATTGAAAACCACAAGCAAGGCGGCCAGCTTAAGCCACCTCGATGTCCCCCAATCGTGGCTGATAAAATTGTCATACTTGTGTACCTGTTGAATCCTCCGCGTTACAGTATGCTGGTGGTTGCTGTCCGCCCAGTGTTTGCCCCACCATTTAAGGCACTCACTCATTGCCACGCCTTGTAGCATTTCCGGCGCTATCTGAAAAGAAAGCGTCTTGCTTACAGTCGGCTCGAGCCCTGTCGGCTCGACTTGTAAGGAGTCCGGCTCAAGAACCATCAGGTCAATCGCTGGGCTGAAGCCCGTCAGAAAATCGTGTGCAGCGATGGGGGTGAAACAGATGACCCTTGCAGAAAATCGCAAGATGTCACTTGAGCGCTACTGGGAGTACATTAGCTGTCTCCAAGATTCTCCAAGCCAGAGCCAAACTGCGAGGTAAAGGAACCCTGCGCCTCCGAACGGGCAGGATCGAGTCCATGGAGCGATAGAGTCTTATGGCCTTAAAGCGGCCTTACAAAGCTTGATCCTAGGAGTTAGCGTCTAAGATCCATTCCCAGGGTCTAGGTGGTGTGAGCTGAACATCACCGCATCGATTTCTTCAAACTGACCTCCGCACCAGCAAGGTAGCTCCTCTGAATATTTACATGCATTGCACTTCGAATGGCTGCCCACACAATCAGAGCAGCAAATCTGGTCCTCAGCCGCGTGCGCTGGTAGTGCTTACATGAAGGGCAGGGTAACCCCAAACTACCTGGCACCAAACCATGGGAGTGGACGAGGTATTTGACATGAAGGTATGCAGATGCAGACCACATCCGCGCGCATCTTTTATTGTTTTTTTTTTGGGGGGGGGAGCACGCATGAACAGGTTTGCAGCTCGATATGGTACCTCATACTGCTCTGCTGCTGCCCTTCCTGATCTGCAATGGCCGCCTGAACTTCCGTGAGCTGCCTAGTGGCCCAGTGAGGTTCACAGGTTCACAGGCGGTGTCACGCTTGTGACGCCTCTCGTTGCTGTTATTGCTGCTGCTCTGACCGCCGTGTGCCGTTACCTCTATTTGCTTGTGATGACCGGCACGGTTTAATCACCAGTCAAGTGAAGAAGCGGTTCTAGTGATTGTAGTATAAGAACGACCGTCACGGGTCTCTGTATCACGTATAACTTGTTCCCATGATGGTACAGTACTCAAACACAGGTAGTGGGGGTGCAAGCAGGCATGGACTTGGATGTCTGTGGAACGCAGATTTCGTTGAGGACGCTCACTTAAAAGGCAGGTCCAGGTAGGTTATACAATAATATTGAACCAATCCCAAACAGTAAGCTACGTAGTCAGTAAACTCTAAGCCCTAATTAAGTGGGCAGAAACAGGGCCAGCACACTTAAAAGAGATCATGGGCATATTCCAGTCTTCTTCGTTTCCTGCCAGCTGTCAGCTGCTAGGGATAGGCCGGGGGAGTTCAAGGTTATTGGGGTTTAGGGTTCAAGCGTGCTTGGGGTTCGAGATCCATGCAGGATTTCAGTCAAGACTTGCTCAGACTGAAATATGACTAGGGAAGACCAGCTAAGCGTGAGACGAACACACCTTCAGGCGCTGGCTCCTCCCATCGGACATGCATCATCTGCTGGTGCCTCGGGCCACAGCGAACTCAAACTCAACTCGCCTAGGTGCCGGATCCAAACCTATACTTACTAAATGATGCTAGAAAGTCGGGTGCTTTTGCCAGCCTGCGTTGCGTCTTCTTTCAATGTTGCGTGAGGGTCTGGCTCAGTGCATCAAGTTGACACATCGACGTGCCGCTACTGGAACCAGACATATTCAGGATTGGCTTTCTAAGAAATTGTCCATGCCCCAGCACATAATTACTCCATGCAGACCATCGCGTTCCAGTTTCATTGTTACCGCCCTCTTGCCTACCCTCCCCTCACAGAGGGCGGCATCGGAACCAATGAAGGCTTAGCGGCTTAGCGCTCAGAGTTTAGGCACCTGGGGTCCCACGTGCTCGTCACGAAGATGACTACCAACTTCTCAGTGGAATGGTTTTTGAAACATGCCTTTGTCAGAATTGGCAGAGCTTGTCGGAGAGTCTGGGAGCCCTACATCTCATATCCACAGGCATCCGCAGGCTAGAGGCTAGGATTTCATCCAAGTCCCCGTCGCGAAGCCGGTCTTCTCATCTTAATGGACTACACGCCGGCTACCTGGCACAAAGTGAGGCTTGGAGTTTAGCATGGTATACTGTGACAGCGGCCTAGCGGCCCTTCTTGCACTACGTAGGTGGGCGCACGCCTAGGAAGGCAACCCAAAGCAACCCAAAAAGAACTCCTAAAGACCCGACTCCTTTCGATGGAGCCCAGCTTTGAGAGGTCAAAGTGTCAAATCCAAACGCTCACAACTGCAAAACGGCCTTGAAGCCCTACTTGAAGCCCAAATCCCGAATCGCCTTCCTGCTCCCGCCTGGCCACAACTGCCCTGGGATGAAGACCGGGGCCTTGTGGTTCAGGCTCAGACTTGTAGGACTACCATATTCCATTTCTCTTCTGTCAGACGTCTCCTTATTATTTCTCGGACCTTGATCCTTCAGATCGGACATCTATAGGGTGTGGGGTTCAGTGCTTAAATGGAGTACCCCAAGCTGGCACGACTCCCAAAGCATGATCCCGACTCCAACACCTATTCCCGAGTCCGGCTTTTTTCTTCCCGGCGTGCCACATCTGCGCAAGACTCTTCAGATCCAAAACCAGACCTAAAACAAACGCATACATGGCGTGGCCGAAGACCAACCAAGATGACAAACTCTCCACGACCTGGGCATGTAGGTGGTCCCTTAGATAAGGCCGGTGTAGTTGAGAGAGTCCAGCTTCGTAGTAAGCTGTTGCTCGAATACCTCCTCATCCAGCACCTCAGGTGCACCAAGATGCAGCCTCTTTCCGTACTTACAGCTTGCTTTCCATTCAGTATTCATCCCACCATACGATGACTTAACCTTGCGGCTCAGAAGCAGCTTGGGTTCCACAAGGATCGCCCACGGCCTCCAGAGCCTTCCACCGCATCGCCATCAGTTTGTGCATCACGTGGTGGTCGATGACCTCTGAGGCGAGGGAGCACCCTATATCTACTTGCTGATCAACATCTGCTACTTCAAGTTGAAAAGCATCTACTATACCTGAAACTCCAACACCCCCAGTGTCATCAACCTTGATGATCTAGAGACGTTCTCGCCTGCCTGGGGGTTCTACCGCGATTTGAAGCGATTGGCGAGACCAACGTTCAGCGATCCAAATGCTCCCGTCTGCTAAAACTGCACTTTTGACATCGCATTGCAGATTCTTGCCTGGCACTCCAGCAGGCTGCTGGGTATTGCTATCACGCGCAAAGCCGTGGCAAGCAGTGTACTGGCACCGCAAAACCACATCCGGCACCGATATACACCGATGCTGGCTGATGCCTAATGTTGAGACCTGTTACTGGGTCTCTCCTGGTTCTGCAGATCAGGATTTCGGAGTCTGAAGTTTGGATGGACTTGTTTAAGGAAGGAATCAGAGGGGCCTTCTGAATCTGGAAAGAGGACTGCCTTTTATCAAGCAGCTGCTGAAGTTCAGCAGCTCCCAGCCACACTGTCCCTGCTCGATTGATAGAGCTTGCAGCAAGATGAACTGCTGGGACATTTTCCAGAAATAATGCGCTCTATTAGCACCCCCCTGCCCGGCATTCTTTGCAATCAGGCCCAAATTAGGATCATTCATGAAACAACTCTTCGCCCAATTTCCCGGCCGAAAGATGTTTTTGAATGGTGCCAGCCGGTATTAAAGATGATGTCAACATTTCGCGTATGCTAGTCTTCAATTGACCTATTGGAGCCCACTCTTTGAGACGTGCAATCGTGGTGTACAGCTGCTTCGGTTTGTCTACTAAAGTGACCCTCGCAAGTGCAAGTTTGAGGGTGTCTTATCACTATCAGGGTGCCTGCGTCTTGTTTCGGCAGCCGATGGGTGAGTGGGCCACCGGCAGCTCGACCTAGCGAGGCAAGAAAGATGCAGCACACCGAGGCATTTGCCCACAAGAGGTCAACGTCAGAAACGTGTGCAGTGAAGAGATCTCAATAAGAGATCAGCTGAACTTGCTTGTTTTACCCGTCTTACTCGCTGCTTATGGCATTTGTTGAAGTGCCCCTGCTCCGAGTACACGCAAAACTCCGATCCTGTGCAAGGTCTCTTCTGAATCGCTTGCGGAACTACTTTGGGAGGGTCCGAGCGGCAAGCTTATGGAAGCCCGCGCCCCAGAAACGGATGTTCGAAGAGCCGAACACAACAACCAAACGAATGAACCAACGATCTACCCAGAATCTACCCGAATCTACCCCTGTGTAACCCCCGAAATGCTCCGAAAACCATCCCTACCTTCTGGTGGACAACGGGCTCCAGCCAAAAGCCGACCTCGCACTCGGGGTCGCTCACAGCCGCAAAGCTCCCTTTCGGGCTTGTTCTTTCTTTATGACAGCTTCTGGGACATGTGGCCTGCCGGGGTTTGCTCATGATGCATGGTGGCAAAATGGTGCGCCAAATCCTTGATCCAAACTCTGGGATTGAAACCGTTTCGGGTAGTAGAGGAGTTCTGGTGGCACGAACCCCTCGTTAGCCCCTGTAAGCCCCATCATCGAATTCTCTTTGCTGGGACGTTTGACCCCTCAGTAGCTATCCTTCCCCAGTAAACATGACCGTTCACAGACCCCCATTTGCCCATTGTATAAGCCATGGCAGTTACAAGGCGCCCATGCCAGGCTTCTAGGGTCTGTATGGACAATCAAAACCATCCACAGCGTTTAGAGCGGGCTCATTGGCGGTCCCTGCAAGGTGCATAGGGGCCGGTCAGTGATCAGAAGGTGGAAAGGAGGACGATAGGCCCTTAAAGGTCCAAAGCGAGTGCATAAATGGATCAACAGAAAGTTTTTGGGAGTCCATCCATAAAGGATGATGCTAAGATTCTTTTTGCAAGAGCCTCAGCTCGTCACTTTGCAGAATCTTGCAGACAGTCGGGCGCAGGGGTGTTTGAACGTTGCAGGGCCTTCTGTCGATGGTAGTATGGACACCCTATGAAGGCTAAAAACTATGCACCCCCTTTGCATTGGCACTCCAGGCTGAAACACACGCTGCCTATCTCTACCTCTCCTGCCCAGCCGGCTATACTGACACTAAGATCCGTTCAACGACTGCCAAGCTCGTCGAGATTCCGGCTTATCCACATTAGCCCAGGCCGAGGCAGGCCGACCAAGGGCAAGTAATTAATTGACGTACCTGGAGTCTGGTGCCATCTTTCCCCGACAAACCCTGACGCCCAACCCTCACTACGGTACGTGAATTGCAAGTCAAAGGAGCAGAGACGTCCTCATTTGGCAGGGCCTGCAAGTGCGGCAAGGCTGCCTCACAAGGCCGACTCAGCAATCGAACATGGGAGCTTGGAGGGGGTGTCTGAGGGGATGGGAGTGGGGGTAGTCGGTGAAACATGATGAGGCTCGCTGCTGTAAAGATAGACTTCACAACATACATGGCTTTGGGATTTCTGGTTGGGCTGCCCTAACCTAACATCAAACCCCAAATGCATTATGTTCCTGCTGGTACTTTTGGCGGAGGACTTGGCCGGTCCGGGTCGGCCAAGGCACTTGACATGGAGTTTTAATGCTTAGGAAGGCTTAGGAGTCTGGAGTTTCAGTTTTGTACTGTGTCATTTTACGACTCAGTCGAGCTGCAGCCGGGTTGTCACTGTCAGCATCCACAACTCCGGCAATGTATCCTCGTGCAATGCCCGACAGATTTGACAATTGTGGAAAGTTGATGAAATGTCGCAAGAATGCAATCATGAACGCAGGTGAATGACCAGTTCGACCGGAACCTGCATGATTTGGTGTTGTAAAGACAATGTCCTCAGGAGCATTCCGCGGGGAATGCTGGCAGCTTTAAGCGATAGTGTGATGTGGCTGTTGCTTTTGTATTTGTTCTTTTTTGGCGACTTCTGAATCTCTGACTCTGCTCAGAAACGCTCTCATTCTTCGAGATCGGGTCTCGAAATTTTCAGGCAGGAACTATCGGGCGGCCCCGAAGGTTGGACTTGGAGAATTCAGGGAGGGGTCGTCAAATTTTGCGTTTCGCATGGTGTTGAGCTTAACATGGGGATTGCTTGGCTGCAAGAAACCTGATCTCCTATCCATTCTCTTCTCCTTGATTTGAGGGTTCTTGGGGGCTTTCCGGTGTTGAATTAACACTGGAAGTTCTAAATGTGAATGCCCAGCTTCGGCACAAGGCAGGGCTCAGCACGTAACCAGCACCCCTGGCATACTTTGGGAAGATCTGGTGCCCCGTCAGAAATCGATAGGTGAGATCAGCCCATTTGCCTTCTCAGCAGGGGGGTCTCAACTTGGTGTCAATATGTCTCAACAAAACTAGATGCTCAATTTGGACTGATTTCTTCCATCAGTCTTGCCTCCTGGGTTCTCGTCTGGCCGCGCGTTCGTCATAAAAGCACCGCCGTAGATTCCCTGATCACTTGCCTCTTCCTGAAAGAGGTGCTTTGCCTCCAGACTTGCTAGGAGTCGATCCAGAAAGACGAAGGAGTCAGTGTCCACCTGGGGAGGATGGCTGCGGAGTAATGGTCGACAGCGTCTAGAGTCTATAAGGGCCTATAAGGGCCGATAAGGGCCTATAGGGAAAGAAGCCGCCATGGATTCGGCCCAAAATTTCGGACACAAGGTTTTGCAGCCTAAGCTGTCCATCTCACCTTCAAGAACAAGCCGAAGCGAAAGTTTCGCACAGCGAAGGCGATGCAGCTACGTACCTTCGCGGTGAGGTTGCGGTAGTGGTCCTGGCACTGTTGACTTCGGGTTCGCATGGCTTAGTGCTGCTATCACTGCCCGGACCTGCGACCCCAAAGAGTGTAAGACAACGCTTTCCAGAAGAGCACCCCGCGAGCCACGAGCATGCCCCAAGACCACTCCAAGAGCACTCGAAGACTCTAAGACAACCCCAAAACAATCCCGTCGATGATCTGACCCCACACTCCAAGAATTCAAAAGCACTCCAAGGCCCAAAAGCAGTGTTGATGCGCCAGGCTAAAAGCAACACCACGAAACGCAAGTCCCGGTAGAATGGATTCACGAAGACAGCCCATCCAGGAGCGCAACAAGCGGGAAAGTTTGTCCCTGACGCATTCTCGGGCAGCGAACGACTGCCTCAGAAAGTGCACTGGACCCAAGTACTTAGACAGGAGACCCGCTGCAAGGCCAACAACGCGCCATTGTAATTGCGATGTTTGGGGCACTTCTTGACGTTTGCGCATCCTGAAGTCTGCATGATGACAAGGCAAGAGCGTCAAACGCCGTCGTCCTTCGCGACTTGAAATGCGCACGGCACCTAGGTCAGAGTGCCGTGGCCCGCGGAAAACACTGAGAGGGCCATCGATTTCGAGGCCCCGCGCCGTCGCGACAAAGCGAACGAAGTCAGTATACCCCATGCAAGAACCCCAGAGTGAAAGCACTATTTAGGGAATCAGTTCAGGACTGGTACCAAATAGCTCGAAAACTATTCCAAATTCAGCAACGATCGTCCTGACTTGTCCTGACTTGTGCCAGCGTGGCGACGTCTCCGAAGACACGCTGCTCTAGCTCTAAACTGGTGGCATCTGCCCCGTCTGCCTCACCCACACCGAAGAGGATCTTTACAGTGCGGGTGCTATTGCATCTCGCGCAGGTGCCTGTGCTATCAATATACCTTGCCCAGGATTGACGGATACTTTGACGTTTCTCCACATTCTTCACATTGCTGGGAACCATCACCAAGAGGTCATAGTAGCTGCGGGCGCTGCTTTGCATGGCATCTCCTTCACACTTGTCCCAACAGCAATAGCACAACTTCGTGCGCGAGCTTACAAACTGACTATCGCTATGTGGCTTTTTAGGAACATCGCACTTCCGCATAACATGTCGCCATGCAGATTCTGTCAGACACGATCCACCCTGCCCTGCAATACTTACTCCTGTAAAGGCTGAACACAGCCAAACCAGATTCAGGGCATGGCCAGCTACGACGAGTTCTAAAGTGGAATACCCTCATGCAGTAACCCTGTCCATGGCGGCGCATGAGAGGAGTGGCCACCACCGCCAACGCCCCGATCGCCAGTACCATGAGGCGAGGCCACATCGCGGTGTCTAGCCTTCTCGAGGGTTTCGGTCAGGGAACTATTCCTATTGCTTGGATGCAAAGTAGCTTGAGACAGCCCCAAAAAAGCCGCATCTTTGACCAGAGACCAATATTATGATGAGCCCAAGTCGACTTTGCAAGAATAAGGGTGCAAGACCACATGACCTCTCGCTTCACAAGCCTCGTTGCTTCGACCTAAGCCAAACCCAGGTGCCTTGTCTCGGCATGGCAGATTCATGAAGACCTGACTCTAAAACGTTTCTTCCATAGTTGAGCCGAAAGGAGCGGTTAGATGCCAGACTTGGGCACCTTTTGGAGCTTCTGTGGGCGCTCTGATAGTGGTGTTTAGGCTTCACGGTTGCGGCGGTTGAGGGTCCACCTCCCTGCACAGCGCTTTAAAGAGTGCACGGTCCCTCAATGCCACTGTAGCTTGTTGAGCCAAACTGTCACCCCGCTGGGTCGGCGGCTGCGTGGTGTAGACCTGGCTCGGAGACCACTTTGCTCAAAGCCTCCTGGCAGAAGCACAAAGGAGTGAAGCATCTGTGGTTCATCCTCGTCTGCTTTTTCTTTAGCAATCTCCGACATTGACGTGTCTCGATGTCGACCTCCTATATCCAGGCAACCTGCTCCAATGCTTTATCAACGAAACCATGAACCCAAGTTGCCGATTTAGTGTCTCTGGCCCGCTGTCCAGCTCAGCCTCACCTTCCCACCGATATCCCTGCAGCCCTCAAGCGTAAACCATCCGATGCGACCCCATAACGCTATAGCTCGGAGCACAGACTTCAGATGCACAGTAACTCATTCTGAGGAGGCATTTCTACCTACTCTGTCCCACTCCAAGGCTTCCACGCAATGAAAATGATATGGGAAGTCTCATATTTAGATGTATACGCCCTCTAACCCTGAACCACAGGGCCTAGGGCCTAAGGCTAAGAACATTTAGCCCGACAGGCAAGCGCACTACATTTTCCGAGCTGGCCTCACTACCTGAAGAATGTGAGAGCTGATTTGCGAGGATGGATCTCGGCAAGTCCGGTAAAACGGCCCAGGGAATTGCTTAATTGCTTCAAAATCGCAACTTTTGTGCGACACTTCCGTTTGAGGGTTCGGACTTGCTTCGGAGCCGTGCTCTTGTGGCCAGTCCCTCAGCTGGTGGCACATGGAGCGCAGTTTGGGAATCGCCACGCATTACGAGAAAATGACTCAGCGCACATCATTCCTGCATCGATCCACTCCACAGTCCTGATCCTTCCAGAGGCGTTCTCCGCGGCACACAACAAAAAACCATCACCACAGCAGCCCCACAGCAAGGAAACAGCAAACTAACGCAGAAACAACTGCAAGAACAGCAGAGCCAGCAAAGATAGCGGGGCATTGGCAATGACGGCGAAGCAACCTGCTACATCGGACAACACAACACAGCTCCTCCGCCTCCTCCTCCTCCTCGCACTCCTCCTTCCTCGCTGCAATATTTGGCAAACCGAATGCACATGAAAAGCCTGTGGTACTCTGCACCTCCGAATCCTGCGCGGAGAGGGCTGAGTCCTAGTCGGGTGGGCGGGTTTCAAGTCGTGCGCGCTCAGACTACGCATCTACTTTCATTCGTTGCTTCGGCTCGCGCTGTGCCATGACCGAGGGCACATGCGGCCACACTACATTAGATGGCCACCCCTTCAGTGCGAGCACCATCGAATCAAGGAAACTGTCCAAAGTGTCCTACGTTGCAATTGCGCATGGTGTTCGCTCCTGCAGAGCTGAGCACAGATTCCGACAGGCTCTCTGTAACTTGCCCGCCATGGGCAACGACATTTCGCCAAGCATGCTTTCTAAGCTTCCCAAGTGCAACAGTGTAGCGCTGAAGCTGATGATGCCTGTTCTGCCTGATTTCCACAGATCGAAAAGTTTGGAAGTTTAGGGCTTTGCACTGCAGAAATCGTTTCGGTACGCTATGAAAGCTGGCCTTGCTAACCTCTGCCAATCCCAGACCTGAAACGTGGTACTTTGGAATCTGCATTGACAGTCTAAGGCTGATCAAGATTTGGAAGGATTCTGCTGCGCACCTGCAGCCTGATATGAAAAGTCTTGAACCCTAGCTCCGTTCAACTCAATCATGCCCTTTACAGCTCTGATCGTTGACGCATGTTGGCGGGGTTCATCAGTCCGACGCTCTGCATGACCTGGTGATTCACCAGTGGTATGTAAGCCGGCCGTCTGGGGAAGACCCACGGTCAATTTCAACCCACCACGTTTGTTCTAAGGCCGATGTCGACGTGTCGTATGCGAACGTTGTTGTTCTTCTTCATTCCACTGATGGCGCTGATTGTCCTGGAGTACATCTTTGACTTTCTTCCCCGAGGGCGGCGGAAATGGCAAATCCAACGCTCGCAGCTGCAGCCTGACGACTGTCCACGAGTCCACACTCAAACCATGGGGCGGTTTTCCCGCCGCATCTTCCAAGGCTCTTTGAGGCCTGTTGCGCAACTTTATCAGGCTGCTTCGCCTGACATGACAAGGCACGATGCAAGTACATGTGCCACCAAGGATGGGTTTCAGGTCTGCTGTCGCTTTGTCCATGGCAAATATGTCTTTAATGGCGTTTAATCTGCCATTTAATCTTCCATTAGGATGTGAGTTTCTGGCATCGCAGAAGAGGTCTCCCATCCTTGCGTCAAAGCATGAACCTCTCGAACTGCCTTTAGCAGCTGAGAAAGAAATTTGAAATCCCCTAAAACAAATGCCTGAGAGGGGTCCTGTTGCAAGGGTCCACACTCCACTCAAGGTTTCGGTGATGACTCAACGCTCATGCCAGCATGTATGCGACACCTCGCAAGCCCAAGGCCAGATATACCTTGTCAGATTTTTGGGGCCTGGGAGTGGTTGATGAGGCTGTTGTAAGGGAGCGGAAGTTCAGAGCTGTGAACGCGGGAGCACGAGTAGCTTTCGTCCTTGGACATCGCCTTTTGGGAGGAACTTCGATCTTGGAAGAATGGCAAGGACATGCAAGAACAATCAAGTCTGCGTACAAATCTAGGAGAAGTTGTGCGGAGGAATGTAGCCGCGGTCAGATCTGCCTGTTGCTTGCAGGCACTGCTCGCCCGCCTTTCTCAGAGAGGCGGACGAACTCTATCGGTGGACCCGCATGGCATTTTTTCAGGCAAGGCAAGCATGCAATCTGCCGGAGTCTTCTGGAATCCGCCAGATTGCCTTCCATTCATAATGCTTGAATTGGTTTGGCCGTCATTGAGGCCATGGTTTTCGACGAAGATCGGCATGCGCTGAAACAAGCATGCGGTGAGTCAGATCTCCATGGTGGACGCGCGCACCATCGGCACCGCCTCGTGACTGCGAAAAGAATCCAGAAAAGCGTGTACAATCACAAGGCACTAAAAAGTCTGAACTCGGCCATATTCCGCAGCAAAGAACCTGACACTATAAGGAGATGTCCAGAACCTAAAAACTCTCTGGCGGGTCCTTCGTAGTCCTCGGACCGTTGGTTGCTCGCATATCCTAGGGCTGAAGGCTTCTAGGGGCCAGGGGCCGGGGTTTGAAGGGACATCTGCGAAACTGAGCTTCTGGCCTTTCATTTGCTGGATTCTGCCGGAATGTGCGTAGATCTCGAAACTACTCCGTGCGTGCTTGCCAAAGGGTTGCTGATTAGAGAGGCTCTCAATGTGAACATGTTCTACAGCAGCCAGCACTTCCCAAAACAACTTCCAGGCAACGTGCCAGAATACGTGCAGGCAGCAGGGGGGATTGAGCTATTGGTTTCCCCAATTATCAGGAAGGGGTTTCCCGAGTGCTACTGCCCGTTCCTATCCTCCGCTCTCCTTCTCCTTGTCACTCTCCTTCTCTTTCTCCTTGCCTCTCCTCCTCCTCCTCCTCCTCGTTGTCATGCCGAGTACGACCGTTTTTTGTATCGTTTGCGACTGTCCATCTCTGGTGGTTCGTCCCCGCAGTCTGCTTCCGGCCTTTCGTGATTTGCCATGCTGTCCGTCAACGGTGTCTTCCAGCTTGCTGGCTGTGCTATGTCGCTGAGGGTTTTCAATACTCAAGGGGTCTTCGCGCTTGGTGTTTTGCGGTATCAGCCCGTCAAAGATCTGGGGTCTTCGCTGGATTCGCTGGACGCCTGGGGTTTGCAGGCCCCTCCCCCCTCTCCCTCACAAGAAAACAAACCATTTAATGCTGCCAAGGTGTCCCCGTGGTCGGACAGACCTCGCCGGGGCCTTGGCGCTGTCTAGCTTTAGAAGTTGGGGCTTGGGCTTGGCATTCTTACGACCTTCTAGGACTTCTGAGGACTGCTTACAAAGGAACTCAGGATCTTGTATTTGGAGGTGCAGTGCTTGAGGCTTGGCTTCTGAGGATCTAGGCGTCGAGTTCCAGCTTGCTGTTTTAACTCTCGAATGACTGACTCAAACTGCAATTGCAAAAAAACATCAACCGTCTCAACGACACTTCGATTTTGGTTCTTGGCCAGCTTTGGAAGTGAAAGGACTGATGGAAGGGCATCGAGGAGTCGAGGATTTCTCAATCTGCAGCCAAGCGTCAGCTCCGCCCGCCTTGGGAGGCGAATCATGCGAATCCCAGGAAAGTTGGGGGGCTCACAGGGTCTGAGTGCAGAGGCCTTTGATTTCCAGGCTTTAGGGGACTTAGGTTCGTTAAGCTCCTGCGGCACTTTCTCAAGCGCCACCTTCCTCAAGAACCGGAGATGGACACACTCGCACGCCGCACACTTTGCAGGCTTCATCGCTTCTTGCAACCTCTTCAAAAGAAGCGCAAAGCAGCATCCAAACCCGAAGCGCAAAGAAATTAGCCACTGACCTCGATGGCCAAGCGACATGTCTAGCATCAGGTGAGTGAGCTTCTTCATATCGAGCGTCAGCAAATGTAGGTCGGTACTCCTGTGGGTGCACGAGACTTATAGGGATAGGGAGGGATAGGGTTTGGGGATTGGGATGTTGTATTTAAAAGGTGTGAGAATTCAGACCGCCAAATCGCGGCAGCATCTGATTGCCAAGTGTTCTGCGTTCCAGATACCCATAACCCACGCACTTTCTAAGCCCTCGAGAGCGCCACACACCCCAAGAACAAGGTTCAGCAAACGTTCGACACTGGAGCCCCCAATCCATGCAGGCGGCAACACCCTGCAACCCTACTCAAACAGGAGTGTTACCACTTAAGGGCATCTGAAAAGTCGTCAGCTCCTGGCGGAGCCCTTGAGCCGGCTGACGCCCCGAACCAGCTGTTCGGCTGTGATACCCCCATCTTCCGCCACCATGTCAAACCTTTCTGGTCAAAAGAGAGTTGCGAGTTGCGCCCTCAACAGCTCACCACAACACTCTCCCATCGACTGTATGCTGCTGTGGTGCAAAGCAGGCTCTGCAAGCTCTCTAGTGGGAGACAGGGGCACTTGCTAAATGCTTGCATATATCCCGCCCTCCGCCCTCAGAGTGCTCCGCAACTTTCTTTTGACCATTGCGTTCAGAAAGCGCTGCCCATGCTGCTCCGCGAA